GATACCATATGGTACCTCGCATGTTTAGAGAGATTGTATAGCCAGGAGATAGCCCTTGATCTAGCTAGTCTAACTAGTATAGTCTCGTAGGCGTAGCTTCAAAGGAAGACTTCCAAATGTGAGCCGAGGTATTCAGGCAGCGGACGCGTTTTAGTATGGAAATTCAATGTTGAGTCGACGTTTAGCTTTTTCGTTGATTTTAAACTGGTAGTAGATAGGCTCCCTAAATGGGGATTATTCGGTAATGGGTAGCCTCTTACAACCCTTCTAGATGTCTTGTAATTCTCGTCGAATATAGGTATCTGCAGCGGAGGCATTTTAGTATGGGAAATCTTATGTCGAGTCGACGACTAGGTTTTTCGACAATTCGGAACCGGTAGCAGATACGCCTCTATATTGGAGATTATTCGGTGGCCATTGGACCTTTACAACCCTTATGGGCGTCTCACAATTCTGGTCGAACATAGGCAGACAGCGGCAGGGGTTTATCATAACATATAGCATGTCGAGTTCATTCTTAGACATTGAAGCTCCTAGACGTTGGGGCTTCAAGATACGACAGATGAGGTCCTTGGCCGACCCTTTGGAGGGTTATTACGGGATGTGATACATTGTCAGAATCGGAGTCCCCGAGTCATGTATGTGGGTGGTGGCAAGATTTTGCTACAATTTCGATTTCGATTTGAGCCCTTCTCCAAAGGCTATATAAGCTAGAGAACTCTCCTGGAGCTCTTTTGAGGTCTGTAGCTTTCGATACTACGTTCACAATACTTTGGGTAGATAGCAATTCAGACCTAAGTGACATAGCCTACTACGGGAATGGCAGTCCCAAGTTAGGGTCAAGAATACAACGGATCTAACTTCCACGGAACCCATCTAAGGAGTTAGCTCTCAGAGCGGGAGACTTTGCCAAACGCTCTCTCCAGCCCTAATATCAAATATCAAACTCTCATTCGTGGACCGTTACGGGAGACGGGGTCAAGTATGGCATTACGTATTATGCAAGACGGACAACTGAAGCTTTACGAGCAGAGCTCGACGGTAAATAACAGAGCTCAACTAGTATTGACGTGTTCTAGATACTGCTAATACTGCAGCTACATCTTACACGGTTACTCCTGAGTCTTCTACGCATACTGGTACGTGGGAAAGGGGCCGAGTGTAATATTATGCGATATAGGCCTGTAGTATACCATTAGATAGAGTTCCGCGAGACTGTAAGAATAAAGCTGCCTAGGTTTGGATATCTCATTCGTGGCTTTCGCGATTATTCATTTAGTATATATGCAGCGGATCGATTTTAGTATGGAGATTGAGATGTCGAGTTCGGGGTTGAAGATTTTTAAAATCCGACCTCATTAATATAAGTAGATCGAGGAGGCAATTCTACTGAGATAAGTAGCGACCGGATTAGATCGTGCTGTTATTGTCGTTTTGGGGTTGGAAGTCTGCACCGCAGCGGACAGGTTTTACCATACAAAATCAATGTCGAGTTCATTGTTGCGATTTTCAAGGAAATAAAATATGGATAAAATATTTTGAGCCTTCGCATATTCAAAACGCTTTGAACGAGGATTCTAGAGCTAGTTGTGGTTTTATAATACGTGGGTATATATACGTACGCAGCGGGCAGGTTTTACTATGGGATATCGAGGTTGAGTCCATTGATGCGGTTCTCGGGGAAATAAAATATGGATAAAATATTTCAAACCTTCGTATACTCAACCCGCTTCGCACGGGGATTCTAGGACCAGTTGGGGATTTACAATACGTGAGTGTACATACATGCGCAGCGGACAGGTTTTACTATGGGATATTGAGGTTGAGTCCATCTCGACAGGTACCTAAATAAAAACGTCACCGGCAGGCTACACAAGTAAATACAAGCCGAAAGAGACCCTTACAGGCCTAATAGCTTCAAAATCGGCCGAGAAATCCAACCCAAAAGATCATATGTCAGAGTGACCTTTAGGGCAGAATACCGACTTGGATCACCTAGAAACTCCCAGAGACCATGATATTGGTCTTGAGATGCGCAGTCTAATTTCATATAGTATAGTATCTTCTAGGTTGTGCCTTATGATCCTTCTAATCCGTGGCTTATCTATCATGGACTTTGTAGCAAGTCTGCAGGATCATACAAGCATATGGAGACATTCCGGCTAGTTGAAAACCCTTAGATACATCCAAGTGGCAGTTCGGGTATTATGACTGTATAGATTCCATCTGCGGATGTTTCCAGGCCTCGAGCTTTTGTAAAAGACCATGACACTTGGATCTATCATGACTATGTTAGGTGTAACAGTGGTTGTGGAATGTCATATTCAATTCCTTAAAGTTACCTGCCATCAGACATGCATTCAGTCTCTATGAGCATATAATTGACTCCTCTATTGCTCATATCGGATTTAAACCCCTTATAGCTCACTGTTAAGGGCCGTTTTGGCCATATTACTGGGAATAAGCGAAATTAGGCCCTATTAGCTACCAGCCGCAAGCAGCCACGATAGCCTGTAAGACCACACGAGGCACAGGAAAGAAGGTCCAAAAGCCCCAAACTCCAACTTCTAGATAGACCATACTTCTATGTACTTTTCTTTTACTTTTCCTATCAGGCGATACTCTAGCTCTGTTCCCCCAGGGGAGTACTCTAAACGCCTAAGAGCGCCATAGATGCGCACTGTATCTACCTAGGTACCCTATAGCAGACTAGTAGATGTAAACGTTATCATCATAGCTCACTGTAATCACAACTTTGGACCAAAGCAACTTCTTTCGGGAAAGGCCCTTTAGTGGTCATCGATGGGTTGGAAGGATGTGTCTGAGAATAGTGCGGCTGAGCATTATAACTGGGCTCTTGTAACTGCGAATCTATGGTTTTAGTAGGATAGAAATACAATTTATTCGCGAGCCAAATTTAATTGATGTAAACACTTTCCAACTTATCTCGCCTTCTCTAAATCTGACGAAGCACCAAGTTGATTCTGTACTTCGGTCTTAAACTTACCAGATCCTCGTATCACAAGTATCCATTCTATACCAGTTAGCAAGTCACTCGCTAGGATACTAGTTTCAAGCTTCTCTCTTTGGCATCATGAGCCTAGAGTTATCTACAGATGCGCGTATAATAACTCTCATATCTAGACTGTTTGTCCTCTTTGCAATTTACATATCCTTCTTGTTTAACGGTCGTACAGGGAGTTTTGCTCTTCTAGACTCGTATCCTACAATAGGCTGAGATAGCCGCCCAGCATTTATGTCGGACATACACCTGATAGTTTCCTTGAGGAATACCCTTTTGACCTTTTACAAATATCACGTATTGTAGGTGCTCAGCATGTGGTGCCAAGATCCTGCGTACAGTAGACATTTCTATAAGAACGATCGAGGGAGCATCATGTTAGTGAGCTTCATAATATGCCTACGGTTTCTTTAATGATAGGTACTTAGATCACGTAGTTGACATGATGGATAAGGTATTGATAGCGTTCCAGCTAGACTTCATGCCTACGACAAGCCGTTGGCCTTATGTTGTTGACAAGCGACGATGCACGTAGTAACCCAGTAAATGACTTCAGTTCAAAACCACTATACATAATCTAATTCCATGACTTGTCGTATAGCTGCACAAGTGCCTACTTTAAATCTTTACGTTGGATACCACTTTCCAAGAAAGGAGTATCATGTACTACGGGATCGTCATATCATCCCCTATTCGGGCCAAGACCCTGACCTCTTTGAGGCAACCAAGAAGGCAAGTCCCAGATTAGGTCTGTGTTAGAATACGTCCGTCAACTTACCTAGATACTTACCTGTTTCAGCATATGTGAGTGTAGAATAACTGATGAAAGGGGAATGAGTAGTATGGATATGGCTGGCACACTCCATTGGGTACCATAATATCAAGAGCGTAACTCGGTATTCTTTAAAGCTATTAATGCATCTCTACATGTCTTAGATTATCGTGATCCTAGTCATAGTATCCAACGGAATCACCTACGATGATCTAAAGATACCACACAGTTGTTATACTATCCCATCAACTCAGCACCATGGCTAAAGAACCAGTCAAACACTCCCCACGCCATATTCAAATCCTTTCCTATAATTCCCAAACTTCAAATACCTACTCTCGGAATAAGCGAAAAGAGGAGAAATTCCACGGGCGAGGATCGAATCCTTCGGCGTGGCCTATCTACTTAATCTATCCGACTCCTCCATCATCAAAGCCCGCCGCAATCACGACTCCCACTCTCACTCCTACCCCAGAAATCTATAAAAAGCTCATTGGACGTAGCAAAAGAAAAGGCAACCCTAGGAATATCATTCATGCGTTTCCCATCCCACCCCGCCATCTTAGGTAACGTAACGTACTATAATACCGAGACCAAGTCAAGAAGGGGTTGGAGAAGAAATACGCAGGGGTCCTCGCAATCTCCGCTCGCGTTACCTGTGATGCTACACACCAAGGTATGTCTGTGCCTGTCTGCTTGCCTGCCTGCCCTACCGCTATCTTCCGGTCTTCAGCCTCAAAGACTTCCCGACTGCGGGAGTCGCATCCGGGATTTAGGGATCATATAAGTTCTGACATATACACCTTAAAGGCAGTAAACCACGACGACTTTGTCTTTACTCGTAGAACGTGGTAGTGCCGAGCTGGAAATAGCTTGCACCTAGGTAACCAACCTCGTCATGTAGGCAGTGAAAGAATCACATATACCACTCACGATAAACAAACCATCACATAGACCAACGTAACTGCTACTATAGAATTACCAGATAGACGTGCACATTGGAGACGAACATATACATATACACCTAACAAATTAAATTCCTTCATTATACCATAGCGTTCGAGCGCAGCGTAGCGCAACACAACGCAGACATATACATACAGAAATAGGTATCTTCAATATGACAAGCAATACGACCTCCCGCTCCCGCTCCCGCTCCCGTGCCCCGCCCAAGTACCCTTATACAGCTACAACCAGCGCTGTCCTCTAGAACAGCCAAGAAACGAAGCGCCTGTAGAAGCGCGCCAGACCCTGTCTAGTCTCAGGTGTCGCCGCGCGCTTAGCTTCTTCGGCGGCGAGGAACTCCTCTTCCTCTCGGTCGATGAGGTCTTTGCCGGTGTAGAAATCGCACTCGTGAGGACGGACGCCCTTGCTCTTGGTCCAGGCCTTGTGTCCAAAGATCAGGATCAAGTAGATGGGGATTCCTAGGTAGCCCGTGATGAAAGTGGCGTACTTGGTATTCCAGTCGCCCGTGAACACGTCAAAGTTCTTGGTCAGCGCGATTAGGATGCACATGAACAGCGCCACGTACGAACCCCACACGCCCAGCGGCGCCGAGTACGGCAGCATGTCGTTGGTCAGGTTCTGCGCGCGGCGAGCTCTCACGAACCAGATGTGCGTAACCAGAATCGAGATCCACGTTAGGAGGCCGAAGATGGTGGTCAGGTTGACAAAGTAGGTAAAGACCTGCTTGGAGTCGTCGGAGACGTTCAAGAAAGCGAGAAGACCAAACGCCGCGGAGGTGAAGAGGGTGTATAGAGGTACACCTTTGCGGTTGGTCCGTCTGAAGATGGCGGGGGCCGCGCCGTCCGAGGACAGGCCGTAGAGGGTTCGGCTGGCGATGTACAAATCGGAGTTGGCGGCGGAGAAGACGAACAGGAGGATGCAGGCGTTGAGGATGTGGTCGAGGGCCGGGATGTGAGCGAGCTTGATGGCGACGACGAAGGGAGAGGCGCTGGCGTTGGAGGTGTTGGCACCGACCTTCTTGTTGGGATCCTTATCCGGGTTGACGGCGAAGACGAGCTCTTTAGCGTTATAAGGCACGCACATACCGATCAAGAGGATGCTGACGCAGTAGAAGATGACGATTCGGTAGAAGGTGAGCTTGATAGCGCGAGGGATGGTCTTGCGCGGGTTCTGGGCCTCGCCGACCGTCACGCCGACCAGCTCGGTACTCAGATAAGCGAAAGTAGCAGTGACCATAGTAGACCAGAATCCGAGGAACTGACCCCAGGAACCTGTTGCGATGTAAGGAACGAAAGCGCTGTTTCGTGTTAGCGATATGGTCTATAGTAATTTCGTTATGACTATTATAAGATGGCGTAATTTACTTACCCAGGATCTCTCCAGTATCGGAATCCCCTCGGGTCGCCGTCTGCGCCGCCGCAAGCGATGATGAGAGATAGGAGGATGACACCGATGATAACGACAACTTTGAAACTTGACAGCCAGAATTCGAATTCTCCAAAGAATTGGATACCGAAATAGTTGATAAAGATGATGGCGACGAGGAATATGGCAATCCAAACACCCGGGTTGACTTGGTCTCGAGGCAGCCAGAACTGTATAACCAGAGCTGCGGCTGTAAGCTGATTAGGTGTGACGATGATGTATTTTATCCAGTAACTGTATGAGATTGATGGGTTAGTTTTGATCATCCAGCGCGTTCTAAGGGTGCTGCGCAATTCGTGCGAATAAACAACTACATAAACCAGATAATACGGAAATGAAAGCTGACTTACGTCCAACCGAGCGCAAACCCGAGCGAGGGATCGCAGAACCGAGAAGCGTAACCGGTGAAACCAGCAGACATAGGAAGCCAAGCAGCCATCTCGCCGAGAGCGGTCATGACCAGGTAGACGATCATACCGACGAGAGTGTACGAGATAAAGATAGAGCCCGGACCGGCTTGCGCGAGAGCCTTACCGGTTCCGATGATGAGACCTGTTCCGATAGCACCACCGATAGCAATCATAGTAATGTGACGAGCTTTAAGACCGCGGTGTAGCGACGTCTCCGCCGACGTTTCGATACCGCGGATGCGCGATCCCTCGAGGTCCATGTCGTTATACGACATCATGTCCTTATCGCCCGAAGGCGACGAGGTCGTCGACCTAGCCGACCTCTGCACCACGCCTTGCTTCTCCATGATGTTGTCGCGAACTCTTTTGGCAAGTGTTTCTGATAATGAACGGAATCGAACAAAAAAGAAAGGGTCGACTAATAAGCGACACGCATGAGAATGGAAGACAGTCCTGCGTGTTCGGTCCCAAAGTGTTTTTTGTTGAAGGATCAGAACAAATACGAAGCCCAGGTAAAGGGTTCGACCGGGGAGATGTTCAGCTATTAAATAAGTATACGGGAGGCAAGTAACGAGAAGTCTTGCAACCTATCAACTAATCCCCGAGGGTTTCCGCTTTCCGCTTTCCGGATTGGCGAACGGAACTGCTACGTAGTAGCAACCTTACGATAGAACAAAGCACCAATAGGTCATCTCATGTGCATACCTACTAACCTGGGTATGTAGTAGCTCTGTATATCGACTCTCAGCAGCGGGGCACAGCTTATCTCTCCAACTCTTGTATGTGAGGAACTAGCCAGTCTAGGCGCATATCGCTGACCGACGGCCAGTACTGGCGTAGCCGTGTGTACGAATGTAGTGGACTCTTGGCTCTTGGCTCTTGGTCTTGGCATTGCCCGGCTAACATCTTCTCTTTGGGGACCCCTGCCCTGGCTGCTTGCTTAGGACATGGTACCTACAGTATGTACATACCTACATACTGCTAGATGATCGTGGGTAAAACGTCCGGGGTTGGTGGCATGTCGCGTGCCCTGGCTTTTCCTCGGCGCCTCATCATAAGGCACCTAACCAATACGTGAAGCCGGTGGAGTAGCGTCGAGGAGTTCAGGAGAAGGTCGTATAATAAGTCGCTCCGAATACTACGAAATAGCTTGTCGATCGCAGATCAATCACAGATCACATGTAATGTTTCATTGTCGAGAGCTGTCTGGCAGGGAAATCTGGAAATCAATTGCTTCGTCCAGTTCGTCGGTTCGTTAACCTACGGTTCGTGATTCGTGATTCCCCAACCGTGCTGGACATCGTCATTTTGCAAGGGCCGAGGCTTCAGCCAACCAGCTAATGTACCGAGATGTCGTTAGAGCGGAGCGGTGCGGTTTATGGTTAGGATGGTCAAGTTTGCACGGACTCGAGATAAAATGTAACATGGATGAGGGATTGTCAAGGTTTAATTATCAGGGGTATATCGAAACTTGAGGAATCTTTGGAGTTTGGAGGCTAACGAGTTGCTGGATCTGGCAGTGTAGTTAATTGTTAGTTCTGTTTGATGGCTAGTTCGACATTTGATAGGTTATGACTTTTTATTATCCAATGCCAAGGGGTTAACCAAAGAGAAGTCGGGGAACACTAAAAGTTACTTAGGTACTTGGCCAAGCTTAAGAACTGACGCCAAGTTAAAACCAGTTAAAGTCAGCTAATTGGAGCAGAGCTTATTAATAAAGCACACGTTTTTTGGCCAATCATCATCTAATCGTATATCTTTGTGGCAAACTACCTACTATGTACACCAATACTATTAGCAAATTACTGTACCTTATCCGTCAAGACCCTCAAAGGGGCCTTCTAGATGTCTTCCGGGGTACAAACCACGCTAGAAACAAGGTATATCCTTTCATCCACCCATTTTCTACCCACCTTCTACCCATCTTCCACCCACTTCATTACACTAATACGCTAATCACATGATAAGGGATCATCGGTAACCGACATGGAAGTTTGCATGCATTCTACCTTGCGCTGCTTGTGGTAAATGATACTTTAGGTCAGGAGGGTACTTATGCACACCATGCTCAGCTGTCTCAGATGTCTCTCGTGTCTCAGATCAGCTTTCAGCCACGATGCCGCCGTTGAAGGATCTATGTAGTATTAAATTACATGCCATAAGGCTTTTTCTATAACACCACCGGGGAATTTGGGGCTGAACTATATCTAATAACTCAGGCCTCTTATAATTCTTCCAAGAGCCATCAGAAGCCATAAAAAGCCAGTCGTTTGACTTCTCAGTGAAATACCATCGGCGCGGGCCTCTTGTCCTCGTCTAGGCTGCCGCCCTCAAACTATAACGTGTTAGCCCAATCTGATCAGTGTAGACGTAAGACCAAGACAGATATTCTGGACCTACCTCTAGAAATCCGGTCGCAGTAATAACGACCATGAAGGCTTCGGCTAATTCGTCGACGCGTTCCGAAAGCAACGCTTCCGTCTTCCCTCCCCCCGCGCCAATTCCGGCGGAACGTTTGAGGACGTGCATGACCAACATTCTGTGCTCGGTCAGGAACCGTCTGCCTTGCAGCACGTTATGCGATCCCCGACTAACTATCGCGGCACCGATGATGCGGGCCACGTTGACTAAGAGGGTATAGTGCCTCTGCAGGCCTCTGCTATCTGTCGAATCCACCTGCAATTCTGGGTCCGCCGAAAACAATCCCGACTGTTGGATGGTGCGGAATAGATTCGCATGTAGAACATTCTTAGCACCTTCTCGCGTCTGGCATAATTGTAGTAGTAGTGCGAGTTTGGCGTTTAAATAGTTTTGCTGATCCGAATCCCCTGGAAATATAGATTGTTAGACTCCTAATCGTAATATAAGAAAAGCAGCGCTATAAGACTTACCTGTCCGATCGACCTCCTCCCATTCTACTAGCACCCCGCGCAGGGAATCCACAAGTATACCGATAAAGTTCAGTCTGTTCAACGCTTCTACAACGAAGTTGTCGTTCTCCTGTTTGCCAAGTTGGACTAGCGTTCCCAAGAGAATCAAGGCTGCCGACTGACATGCTGCGTCTCCGCCGAATGCGTCATCGCAGATAACATTTAGAAGCTTCTCACCGAACGCCCGTATCGTTCTAGTTGTTTTTCGGAGGCTCAACGAGACTCCTTGCCCGTGGTCCACCAGTCCCGTCAGGTGGCGGTAGCAGATGCTATAGTAGACCGCGCGCAATTCTTGATTGCCGGCCCATTTTGCGATAGCGCTTAGGCAGACCTGGAGGAGTTGGAAAAGTTTGTCGCTCGTCAGGTTTTCTACCGCTTTGCTTTGCTTGTCGGTAGAAGTCGTCGCCGCGAAATCTAATTCGAACACTAACACCTTAGCAAGCTTAGCCAGCTCTAGGGCGGCGCTAGGGTTCTCCGAGCTGTACAGTTCGAGGCTTGGGAGCGTTGCTTGCAGGGTCTGTAGTATAAACGAGACCTTGTTTGTGCCCTTGAAGTCGTTGCAGTCGGTCATCACCATCAAGAGTTTCGTCCAGTTTGTCAGAACCTTGAGGCTGCGCGATTTCACCTGCGCGAACCGATTCAAGTACCTCAAGTACAGCAGCAGGCTTTCTTCTTCCGCGTCCATAGCTATGACGTCTTGCTGTAGAACGAGCTGGCCGGATTTGCGAGCCTCGTTACGCTTGAGAAGCAGAATCTCTCGGACCTTGTCCAGATTATATATCCGGATCGAGTCGTCATCTTCGTCTAGGCACGGCCGCAGCTCGTGTTCTCCGTACATCCTGATATCGGGTGGAGCAGCCGCGAATAAGCTTTCCTGGGGCGACGAATCTTGAAACTCGAACACCGAAGATACGGGTATGACCTCTAGACCGTCGGCTCTGATCTGGCCGCCGAGAGCGTCGAACACCCGTCTCTTGAGCGCTGGCGTACGGCCGCGAGAGACGCTGCAGAGCTCGCGAGTAATATACTCGAGTGCCATAGCCCTTATCGAAAGATAATCGACGTACCCTTCGGCCGCCGGATACGTGAGGAAGTCTGGTCCGAGGGCTTCGTTCCCGTCCCACACGAGGCTCTGCTGAGCTACGAGGCCTTGCATTAAAATATGGAAGACGAAGTCGTTTTCTCGTAGGTCCTCGAGGACGATGCTGGCCGACAGGGGAGAGCTCCAGAGTATCCTGAGAATTCGCATGACCTTGTACTTCAGGTTGATCAACCATGTCTGCATAGATCCCTCTTCGTCCTTCGACGGAAGGCCTAGGACCACGGGTAGCAAGGCGTGAAATAGAGATGCCTCCTTGTGAAATAAGCCGTCGGGTTCGATTTCGAGCGTGTTAGCTCCGCAGCGAAAACCGAGGAACAGGTGAGCGATCGTAGGGCGATCCGGACTCGCCTGTAAGCAAGAGTAGATGAAGTCGAGAATGTAGGTTTTGGTTTTGTAGTCCGGCGAGTCGTCTTTCTTGCGGAAGTCTAAAGGATATTTAAACTCGCTGATAAAAGAGCCGGCTATGATGGCTGCGTCGCCGTGCTCTTCCAGGGCCATGATCGCCTTGTTTCGATGGATCTGCCTCGAAGATCCGGTATTCCAGGCCGAGATTGCCCTGGGCGACGATGAGATCTTCTCCAAGAGTTTTAGACTGGCCAAGGTTAGTTCGGGATGACCTATACCGCAGTAGGTACCCAGGTCGGACATCAACACCATGTTACTCATGAGGCCGTCTTCTATCGAGGCGTATGCCCCGTTAGATGTTGGCGTATATGGTGATCGGCTTTGCGCTCGAGCCTGCGGCTTTACCATTTTCCGAACCACCTCGAAATAGGTAGCTTGGAGGTCGAGAGCTTTCGAGACGAGCTGGACCGCGCGTATGACGCTGTTGATGAGAGGCGAATCCTGCGGGGTTTTCTCGATGTCCTTTGCGTTTTGATGTATCGTATCGAGGATACCTTTCATGAACCTGCTGTCGTACATCCATTCCATGACCCTAGCGAATGGGTGGAGAGTGACATAATTCTCTAGGCTTCCGCTCTGGATGGCGGAATCCACGTTGATAGTAGTATTGTTATTGAATATGATCAAGTCCTCGTTAAAGCTAGAAACGCAGGTGAGCGCGAGGTCTAAGCAGCACAGCCGAAGCACTCTCTGCTGTACGGCTTCTGGAACTTCTTGAGCCCTGACGGAGAACATGTGCCCCAGAGCAAAGTCGATGTACGGCTCGATCCCGGGACGCATCCGAGTAGACGCGCCGAGATCTTCCGGATACGGTAGCGCGTCGTTTAATCGACCGGATTCGCCTGGGAGAGTTGTCAAGCTGATTAAGAATTGTATAAACGCGCTAGCGTCGTCGACATGTGGGCTCATC